AAGGCTTGAGTTCACCTCCCTTTTCCGTCCTTTCCTGCCTGGACCCTTAGGCTCACCTCAGGGAAAGTGTGTCCACCCTGTAGGGGAGGGGACCTGGGAGGCACTCACAGGTGAGTTAAGGCGGTGTGGACACTGGCACACGTGATGCAGTCTTCACAGAAAGAGGTTCTGGGCCCCTCCCACAGCCTCACAAACAAGGCCAGAAGATGGTTTGTGAGTTTGATCACATACATAGATTCCGATGTTTTTAAGTGAACATTCTTGGAGAGCTTGGAGATGTAACCAGAAGAACCTCAATTGCTACTGAAATTTGAGGTGGAAGAGTCTTGTTCTTAACCAAGATGCATCTAATTTGTTAGATGAAGGAGGGTAAACCATGATTTACTTGAATGTGATGAGGGAGAACATTCTGGTATGAAAGGAAATGCCAAAGGCTTTTTTAAAAATTTATAATCCTTTCATGATTTTGGCAGGTAATTATGATAATTCCCGGGATTTTCACAGATTTAAAAGCTTTTCACAGCCACATTATTTTTGGAGATCATCTTCCGTGATACTCCAGCTGGAAGGAATTGCTTAGTCTCCTGAAGCTCTAACGGCATCATCTTCCAAAAACAAGTTTGAATGTTACCTTCTTAAAGATAATTTTCTCTATCTTTCAGACCAGGGCTACCAAATGGCTGCCATTTTGTATGCTAGGATTTGGGTTGATTGGTTATGTCTGTCTGGGTTGTCTGGTTGGACAGTGATCGATTAATGCTTTTTGCCAAGGGGGCAGTGAGCAGCAGAAAGTAGGGAATCCTGAGATATTTAACTAGTCCCCTTTGGATGAGCATTTAGGTTAGTTTATAGCTATTGGTAGCTGAACTTGTACTTTGAGCACATGTGTAAGCAAGAGAGACAAGATATTTGCCTAGGAATGACTTGCCGAGAAGTTAAAAAGTAACAGTTGCAGCCATACAGCCTTGTCACTTAAATTTCTTAAATCTTTCTGCTTTATTCTTTCTACCCAAAGGATAACTCTTCAGCCTTTGTAGCTTATTCACTGATAAGTTGTGAACCTTCCTAGCACAGTTCAGGAGACATAGCTACTAGCCAGATGCTGTCCTTGGCCCTTTCAGAGAGTCAAGGTTCTCTATTCTTGTTCCTGTGCAGAGTCCATGTTGTGATAGCTTGGAGCTTCATCTACCCTGGTCACTGGATCTCCACCTGATGTTTGTTTTTGTCATTGTCATCAGTGTTTTCAAATGATACCTTTTCCCTAACTGCTTTCAGTGGAATTTTCATGGAATACAACTGAGAGTAGAAAGAAATGTGAATCTCAGATTCCCCGAGCACTAATGGTGCCAGAACACAGCAGGTGCCTGTTTGGGATTTAGGGCATGGATCTGTCCCCGGAGGCTGCCTGGCATGTCCCAGGGCCCATTAGGTAGGTGACTCCAGTGTGCTGTCTCATTGAGAGGCCTTCCCTGACCTCCTGCCTTCCTTCCAAGTGGCTCTGTCATGATTTGTCTGACCAAGAGCCATAGGATATGAACTATGTGGCTATCCTGTCTGCCCTACCTCCTGGTTCACCTGCTTGACTGTTGATTAGCAACTCTAACATACTCTTGCCAAGGACAGCAGTGCATCTTCCCACGGTTTTTCCAGCTCCGTGTGGCACAGTGGAGGCCATTTGACTTCTAGAGACATGCTGCTGTGATGCCTCCTCGATATTTCTTTATACCTTCACCCGTCACAGAAAACTGGCCCAGCCCCTGGGCATTTGCTCTGCCTCAGACATGCTGCCACGACTGAACTGCAGAATCTCGTTTCATCTGCACGGTGGCCCACTTTATAGATGATTGGTCTCTGGGCCATGGAGTTACCTGTCCTGCATCAGAGCATACTGTTGGCAGCTGTTCAGACCCAGGCTTGCCTTGGACCAAAGCCCCCTCTCATCTGCCTCCTGCCTCTGCTGGCCTCTGGTGTCAGCTCTTGGCACCTGAATTTTCCTTGGACGGATATACCTTTCTCCTCTCTGTCTCTGTCTCTGGAGGGCAGCCTCCAGGAGCTCACCCTGTTTGTGGAAGAGAGGGTACCTGAAGGGGCTGAGTGGTGGTGTTGAGGCACTGAGAGTGACAGGTGGAGTCATAGAGATGAGTTGGATCTTACTGTTAGGGTAGTGGTAGCAATGAAGGCATTGAACAGCAGGTGACAAGATGAGATGTGACTTTGGGAAGATCACTGTGCCTGCTTGAAGGAGAATGGATCAGAAAGCAGCAATTCTGTCCTGCTCGCTGCAGTCCTCTCTATCTATGGTAAATAAGGTGGGCAGATGAGACCTGAAAGTGCCTTCACAGACTAAGAAAAATTCCAAGAGACAATGATGTCTTGGCCTATTTTTATTTTTGTGCTAGTGGGCATTACTTTTGATCTCACATTCCTCTTCTGAGGCTCTCCTTAATTCTTGAACTTGTTTCTGGCTCTGTTGGAGTTTGGAAATAGTTACTTGAGCAGTAAGCTGCTATGACTTCCAGACAGTAAGTGCTGTTTATCCCAGTGACTGTAGGTAGCCATGTGCAGTATAAAAACTCAGAGCTTCGGGGGTTAACTCAGAAACAGTGGACATCGGAGTTTAATGATAAAATTACTTCATCAAATTTTGTCTCCTCAGTTCCATCAAAAATTTTTTTTCTATTGCTTGGCAAAGAAAGCTTTGTCTGATGTGGTCAAGTCACTCTTCTGGCTGTAAGGAGAACCAGGTTTTGACAACTCATGGTAAACACCACTTGAAGCTGGGAGCTTTAGATGTTCCACGCGCTGATGAAAATTGTTTTGGTGCTTTAGCTGCCTCTGCAAAACAAAACAAAAATAAAAACACAAAAACATAAAAGCTTGCTTTTTTTTTTGGAAATGGCATTGGCATGTATTTAAAGCTCACATTTTGTGGAAGCACATTGGCAGGTATTTATTGGTGATACTGGCAGCTACTGTGTGGTAAATGGCTTCACTGCCCTAAGGAAGCTCACGGAGTATTTGATTTCTATGTAGAGGATTCACAGAGACATTACTAGTGATATTTTATTTGTATGTTAAAGGCAAGAATAAGATCAGTTTAAGTATTTCATGTACAAAAGGAATAAGGCAACTAGGTAATACTAATTTTTGGTCTGCACAAAGAAAAAAGTGGGTAAAAGGCTCAGAGACTTCTTTGTTAATTGCATACTCCTTGCAGTATCTTTTGTGCCATTTTCACTTAGTATTTTATACTGGTTTGGCAGAGGTGGGCACCTTGGAAACAGAGGGTTGCCATTTGAGGAGAATTCACAGAGCAAGTTAATGAACGTGTCCAGGATGAAAATTAAGAACCTGATAAATTTCACATTACTCGTACAATGGCTCCTTCTCATTTTAGGTAAAGAATTTCAACTCTTTAGTGTTTAATTCTTTAAAGAACTTCATTCTTTCTCTTACTGATACACGAAAGAGTGCTCATTGCTAGGAAACGTGCCTAGGGAAAATCAGAATGGGGAAAAACACACCCCTTAAATATTAATATCTTCTGATCTTCCTTCTAAGCTTTTTTTTTCATACAGGAGATTGAACCCAGAAGCCTTCACACTGAGCTATATCCCCAACCCTGTGTGTGTATGTGTCTGTGTGTGTGTGTGTGTGTATTTTTTAAAGAGTGTAGGTGGAACTTCCTGCTTTTATGCCACTATGCCTGGCTGTTTCTAAGCTTTTTACCCTTTTTGTAACTAAACAACCAAAAAGAAGGGCTCTCCTTTGTTTCTCCTGTGGAAAAACACAGGTTAGTAATCTTTTGTTTTATAGTGTTTTTCCCTTATTCTGCCAGTATCTTTCATGCCATGTAAAGTGCCTGTTACAAATGACCTGGTATTGGTGCACTGCTTAGGTAGTGAGGTCTGAGGTCTGAGGTACGGGAGCGCTGATCTGTTGGGCAGGTCAGGGGGCCAGGCCAGCTCAGGGTCTGTTGGCCTCACATTGTGCAGGCTCCTCTTAAGGCACTTCTTGTCTTCCTGCAGGGTTCAGAGACAACAGGGCAGTGTAACATCTCATGTTTCTCTTAATATGTGTAAATAAATTGTAGTTGAGAAGTCTCTATATTGATTATAATCTACTAGGTTGCCATCTCCATTTTTATGTATTTAGGGTCAGCCAGAAATACTGAGTAGTTCAGTTTGGGAAGATCCTGTGGTTCCCCATGGCCTGAGAGGCTGCATCTGGGCCTGATGCAGTGGCAGGTTCATAGCATGCAGCCAGGCCCCACCTCTGCGCGTGTTGATGGATGGTGTGACCTTGAGCAAGCTACTGTTTCTCGTTCTGTTAAAGTGGGAATAACAGTACACACCTCTCAGAGCGCCTGTGATACATCTATGAAGAGCGCACAGGAAGATCTGGCCCAGACTGGAGTCAGCAGTGACAGAGGAGTAGCTGTGAGGCTGCTGTTGCGTCTGTCACTGTTGTTGACGCCACACTAGAGATGTCTTTGGTTCTGTTTCCTTGGTTTCCAGAACCAGAGACCTGATGAACAGAATGGTTACAGTTCCTTTCTCTGTGCCATTAGTGGGAACTTTCTTGACACACACAACTCAGATTAGAACAAAAGTATTTGCTAAAAGAGTATTAAGAACCAGAGCCCAAGGTACAAAAATGATGATATAGTTATATTTTGACTATAACTTTTTTTTTTTTTTTTTTTTGGTACCGGGGATCGAACTTGGGCCCTTGCCCTTGTGACACAGGCAGCAGAACCACTGAGCCAAATCCCCTGGCCCATTGACTGTATCTGTTGGACTGGCTACTCCCAAGTGCTAAAACCAAGCAAATTAAGACATGTTCAACATATGGCTGGGTTTACGCAGCTCATAGTTAAGCAGCCCCAACAAGCTGCCGATGCCTTGCTGAAATGTGGCAGGAAGGAGGGTCTGGAGGAGCGACGTGGCATGGGAAGGGTGTGCCTCATAGTCTCACAGTTTGGCGCTGGTCTCTTCCAGGTGGCCGAGATGCACGGGGAGCTCATTGAGTTCAATGAACGCCTGCACCGGGCCTTGGTGGCCAAGGAGGCTCTCGTATCCCAGATGCGTCAGGAGCTCATCGACCTCCGGGGGCCGGTGAGTGCTGCAGCCTGCAGGCGGTGTTTGTTAATCTGACCTCTGCTGCCCTCAATCACTGTTTGGTTCTTTCATTATCAGTAGTGTAAAGCACAGAAACTGAAAGAAGGCACATCCATGCTTGCACCACCCTACATTAACTTCTACCACATTTTCTTTGGGGAGGCATCAGGGGTTAGAATAACTAAAATACTACAAGTTATACTGTAGCCTCATTTCCCACTCCTCATCCTAGTTCTGAACTTGGCCATTGTAAACAAGTACACAGTTATCACTGAGTATTTTGCCATTATAAATAAGGATACTGTTAGCATTCTAACACTTGTGCTTGTACACACACAATACCTTTCTCTTCATTTTAAAATGTATTTATTATGCAAAATGTTGAATGCTCAAAGTTAGGTGAGATTAAGTATAATGCACTCCGGTGTCGATTGTCAGGTTTAACTATTACCAATCATGGCTGGTCTAGTTTCAAATTACCTATCCCTGCTTCCTCCTCTGTATTATGCAGATAAAACATTGTGTATTAAGTCTATAGACATCTTATGTATGTCTAAAAATAAGAAAGCATAAAAATTATATTCTTATCATTCAGTATTACCGTGTATCTCCAAATATCAATCAGTGTTCAAGTTTCTAATTATCTCATCATTTTTTATATTTTTTAAAAAAATTCAAGGTGCACATGAGATTCATACACTGCATTTGGTTGATATGTCTCTTTTTCTCTCACATCTTTGAAAGTTATAGTGAAATATAAGTAACATAAAACATAGCATCCTAGCCATTTTTTAACTGTACAGCTAGGAGAATAAGAATGTCCATTTACTGTGAATCCACTACCACCACTCTCCATCGCCAGAATTTTTTATTTTCCCCAGCTGAAACCCTGTCTCAAATACCAGCTTCTCTTTTCTCCATCTCGAGGCCTTAGCACCTGCCATTTTACTTTCTGACTTTGTGGGTCCAACTACTGTCCTTTCTTTTGTTTATTTTTGTCTTATGTAGTCCTGCCCCCACCCCCCATTAAACAAGTGTTTCTCTGAGGTCAGTGGCTACATGTGAACTTGCCTGGTTTTAGTACATCGAAGCAGTTTAGTTTGGCCAAAGTGTAAAGTGCCTGTCCAAGTTCCTGCCAACACTTTTATATTTCACCAAGACATTTTGTGAGATGGTTTCAAATTACATTTCCCCAGTTACAAGTGAGGTTGACCATCTTTTCTCTTGCTGTTGTCCAGTTTATTTTCCACTTTTGTGGCTTGTTCTCATAGCTTTTGCCATTTTTCTTTTGGGTTGTATTTGTTTTGCTTACTGATTTCTAGCAGTTCTTTTTATTTCTGTTTTAGATAGGTGTATTGTAAATATTCTGTCTCAGTCTGTAGTTTGATTACTTACTTTTAATCACAGTGGACAAATTCAAACCTGTAAAATCAAAGAGAATTATACCATGTACCATGTACCTGTATATAATCACTCACCTTCTGCAGTCATCTGTTCTTTCATACTCTGCTCAGTCCCTTCCCAACCATTATTATTTGGGAAGGGAGAGCACACTCTTCCAGGTCATGTCTCCGTGACTCAACTCTTCTGATGAGTGCCCTCTGCCAACAGCACCCTCAATTCAGTGTCCCCACGATCCAGTCACCTTTCTGAATCCCCACCTTGGACTACAGGAGTGTTTTGGGGTCATTCTTGATCTAAACCATTACACATAGAAAAATAGGTAAAAATGCCATTGTAGCGTCTCAGAAATTAACAGTAATTTCTTAGAATCATCAAATATTCATGCAGTGTTCAGTAGTCTTCAGTTATTTCAACATTTTTTCAACTTACTTGCATTAATCAGAATCCTAATAAAGTGATATAGTTTTTAAATCTCCTTTCATCAGCAAACCCTCCTCTGTTTGTCATTTTTATTGTTATTAGGAAAGTTAGCCCGTTGAACCGTAGGTTTTCCCAGTTAAGATTTTGCACATCGAAACCCGGTAATGATCTTTACCATGCTCCTCTTGCCCTTGCTGCGGAGGTTTGTTCGTTTCAGGTTTGATTTTGGGCCAGGACGGCTTCACACATGGCAGTGTGTGCTTCCTCAGGAGGCTCATAAGCACGTGCTGGCAAAGTACCGTGGGAGCCACAGTTGGCCCCCGCCTCTGCTGCTGGATGGCCAGCTTGTGACAGTGACCTCCTGTGGTTAGAGCCCTGCAGCACAGTCCCTGGTGGGGGTCCCTGCTCTCACTCCTGACCTTTTACAGGCTTTATACCTATCTCTGGATTTCTTTGTTTAGAACGTTATGGGATTCCCTAGGGTGGAAGCACGTTTAGGATGTGCCTGTCCTTTATTTACTATGACCCCTTTGAGGGAGGGTATATTATTGCTATTGGCACAGGTTCATTGAGCTTCTGCGAAGGCCTCATCTTTCATTGAGTGTGCATTGGAGCCAGATTCAAAACTGCTTGAATTAAAGCCATCTTTCTCCATGCTGCACTAGCACCAGGGGATTTCAAAGAGCAGGGCGAGATCCCTGCGTTACCCTTTGCCCTTCTGAGCAAGGTGCCACAGGTCCTCCATGGTGGCTGTCCACCACATCTCACCTTGAAGACATGGCCAGTGGTATCTACCCGGACACCTCCTCTCCCTACATCTGTGCCCTGGAGCCGGAAGCACAGCAAGCTGTGGGTCTGAGAAGCTTGCACTAACCCATTTCCCTTGTGAGTAGGGAGGGTCGGGGATAGGTGGGGCTCTAAGTGTTCCAGCCTGCTCCAGGGCAGGCCTGCAAGAGGGGATCTAGAGCAAGAAGAAACCCACAGTGACCCTGTTTCCTAGTATCAGGTCAGTTAGAGCCTGTAGGTGTCCTTCTGTGTCTTTAATGCGGACAGAATGACAGGTCACTACTGTCACTATGGATACATTTTCAGAGAGCAACTTCAGTGTCATTTTGAATAATAAGAATCACCTGGCTAGTACAAATTATTAAATGCTGACTCTTATAGCTCATATGTATGAGCTATTACCTGCCAGAAATTTGACTGAATTCCTTCAAGCATTAGAGCTTTATTTAATTCTCAGTCACCATAACAGTCATTACTATTGTGATCCCCATTTTGCAGAAGAAGAAATGAAATCACTCACCCAGTTTTCTGCGGTGAGAAATGACAGATCTGGGTCTGCCATGTATGTATGTGTGTATTTAGGTACTGAGGCTTGGATGCAGGGTCTCATCTTGCTAGCCAAGTGCTCTACCATTGAGCTATAACCATAGCAAGCTTTTATCGTTTTAGGAGTTGAAAAGTATCAGATTTTTTGGGCTCTTGACAAACTTTGTTTCACCCTTGCCTAAAGAGTCTGGTACTTTACAAAGGTATTCAGTGAGTAGTCATTGAAAAGTATCCTCCTCCCCATTGCCCTTGATTTTCTTACCCAGAAGCAAAAAGTGTTACCAGTCTTGGCTTTCTCTTTTCAGAGGTGAGCGATGCCTGAGTGAGCTGCTCACCCACACTGGCGTGTTTAATAACTAGTAGCCTGCTAACTTCATTGTTCTGTATATTACTTTTTCCCAAGAACTATAGGCCGTAGGGATTTCTTGTCTTACTTTACGTGTAGCTCCGTTCTTCTTAAGAGCTGTGTCAGGTCCCCTGAACTGGCATTACCGTAATCTACCTAGCAGGGCCCTACTGGAGGGAGGGATATAGCATTGTTTCCCTGTGGTTGCTTTTTATAGCATGTTAGAGTAACATCTTTATGAAGGCCTGCTCTTCAGAGGGAAGCTCATCTGGCTTTTGCTCCAGGTCATTTCGGAGAAGCCTGGGGCCTTTGGGCAGACTTCTGCCTCTTACCATCTGCCCTGCCTGTTCCAGGACTTGCCTTTCCAGTGCCAGCATCCTGCAGGAGGCCAGTCACTGGGAAGTTCCAGCAGCATGTCAGGCACACAAAGTTAGCTTCTTTGTTAAATACGGCACCTGCATTGCAGAGGGTTTGGCCCGTGCTTGGATTCTCACTGTGCTCCTTCACAGGGTTTGGCCTCCTACTGCTCGATTTGCTTGTAGTGCTGCTCTGGGTCAGGGAAACAGCCCTCTCTCCCCAGTTTTATTTGTCACATTCTCAGGAAGCCTTGATACCCTGGCCAGATCAGGGTTTCCATATTGAGTATATTTATGTGTGTCTCTCCTTCCTATCTTCCCTTAACAGTATTTCCACATGAACATATCACTGACTTGTGTTTTATCACCCCTCCCTCCATGAGTTCCATGCTTTGTTCTGTTTCCTTTGCATTCCTGGGCATCACACAATAGATGGTTGGCTGTCAAGTGAGTAAGTAAATGTCACTGGCGGTAGGTGGTGGAGTCCAGTTTTTTCCTGACCCCAGTGACGTATAAGCTCATCTTCTCTAGCCTCACTGGGCTTGCTTCTGCTTAGCCTGAATGCCCTCCATGGCTGAGACAGCTGTTGGAGTAGAAGCAGCTCTAATTGCCATCTCTTCCTCTCCTGTGGGCAAGTTATGATGGCCAAAAGACAGGAGGGAGTAAAATGGTCATTAAGGGCCTGAAGGCTCCTGGGAAGAGCTGGCCATTTGCACTGTTGCCCCCAGGGGACACCTTTGACCTTGTCATTACTGCCTCCGGCCTGCCCTGGTCATCTCCCCAGTGTCCATCAGGGCAGGAGAAAGGAAGCCAGTATAGCTCTGTGAGAATTCTGGAATCTTCTCTTCCTCTGCATGCCCCTGTTGGAATCTCAGCCTCATCTCCCTTCCTTTCCACTGGCTTGGATCTCAGAGGATCCTACTTCTGACTTCCTTCCAGAACACTGGAACATTCTAGAGCCTCAGGGTCAGGACTGTGTTCTTTGTTTGAGAACTTCAGCTTCCTTTTCTACCAAGTGGAGATAAACATGGCACCAACCTATGGGTAGGTTTTGTGAGACATTCAGAGCTCTCAGTGCCCATCTGGTTTCATCTGTGATCCCCTGTGCCTGGCATTGGCCTAGCATATATTAGATGCTC